TATTAGTTGCATGAAATATCTTTTTCCATCCCTTCACTTTTAGTCTGTGTATGTCTTTGGGTTTGAAGTGAGCCTCTTGTAGGCAGCATATAGTTGGGTCTTGTTTTTTTATCCATTCATTGACTCTATGTCTTTTGATTGGTGCATTCAGCCCATTTACATTTAGGGTGATTATCGGTAGGTATGCACTTATTGCCATTGCAGGCTTTGGATTCCTGGTTACCAAAGGTTCAAGGGAACTTCCTTTCTATCTAAGAGTCTAACTTAACTCACTTAGTATGCTGTTACAAACACAACCTAAAGGTTCTTTTTTCCCCCTCTCCTTTTTTCCCTCTTCCATTCTTTATATATTAGGTATCATATTCTGTACTCTTTGTCTATCCCTTTTTATTACCTCTGGTGACAGCTATTTAACCTTAACAACACTTCCATCTATAGTCCCTCCAAAATACACTGTAGAGATGGTTTGTGGGAGCTAAATTCTCTCAGCTTTTGCTTATCTGGGAATTGTTTAATCTCTCCTTCAAATTTAAATGATAATCTTGCTGGATGCAATATTCTAGGTTGAAGGCACTTCTGCTTCATTGCATTAAATACATCATGCCACTCCCTTCTAGCCTGTAAGGTTTCTGCTGAGAAATCTGATGATAGCCTGATGGGTTTTCCTTTGTATGTGATCTTATTTCTTTCTCTGGCTGCTTTTAATTGTCCTTATCCTCGATCTTTGTCATTTTAATTATTATATGTCTTGCTGTTGTCCTCCTTGGGTCCCTTGTGTTGGTAAATCGGTGAATCTCCATGGCCTGAGAGACTATCTCCTTCCCCAGATTGGGAAAGTTTTCAGCAATTACTTCCTCAAAGACACTTTCTATCCTTTTTCTCTCTCTTCTTGTTCTGGTACCCCTATAATATGAATACTGTCCTGTTTGGATTGGTCACACAGTTCTCTCAGTATTCTTTCATTCCTAGATATCCTTTTTTCTCTCTGTGCCTCAGCTTCTTTGTATTCTCTTCCCTAATTTCTGTTTCATTTATCATCTTCTCCACCATTGAATCTGCTTTTAATACCCTCCATTGTGCTATTCAATGATTGGATCTCCATCGTAAATTCATTCCTGAGTTCTTGAATATTTTTCTGTACCTCCACGAGCATGTTTATGATTTTTAGTTTGAAATCTCTTTCAGGAAGATTTATTAATTCAGCCTCACTCAGTCCTTTCTCTGGTATTGAGATTTTGCTTTGAAACAGGTTCCTCTGACGTTTCATATTTGTATGTGGTGCCCTCTAGTGCCCAGAAGCTCTCCTCTCTGGAGCTGCTCAGCCCCTGGAGTGATGTTGGGGTTGCAGGGGAGCAGTGTTGGTGCCCTGTTCTATGAGGTCTACTCTGTTCTCCAGGTGTATGCAGTCTGGTGCACCCCTCTTTCCTGTTGCTCTTTCAGGATTAGTTGTATTAATTATATTTTCATATTATATGTGGTTTTAGGAGGAGGTCTCTGTCTGCTGTAAATAATCTTGCAAAGGGATAAACTCCTACAAGAGAGGAGAGCTGGTGTTGGGTGATCATTGTAGCTGGTGGGTGAGGGAGGTTCCTGGAAGGGTGACACTGATGTTTCCCATGACTCTGCCCCTAATTTGTCTTTGCTCTACAAAGTGAAATGGAGAGCAAAAGGGAGAAGGAGATTTTGTGTGGAGGTAGCTGATTGTTTGATTAAAAGTCTTATTTACAATTTTCTCATATTTGTTCTGTGTAGAGCAGGTTTGCACACATTGCCTACTGATAGCATACAGGCAAGAGAGGAATAAGATTCTAGGATCTCACATTATAAGAAATAATGTGGCAGCTTCTGAGTCACCAGGCAGAGTTGAAGGGGAGTTTACTTAGGTGCCAGCAAAGATCATAGGTAACACTGTCAGGGATATTTAGTGTTTAGGACTTGGGATCTCCTGTTTAATTTAAAGGTCAAGTTCAAATTGGAAGTTTCCATTTGGCACAGGTCCCTCCCTCCCTCAATCTTACCTCCTCAGTTGTAAAATCAGGTAAGTAGCCTTCATGTATTGTTGGTCACACATGCAGTCTGCAGGGTATTTGAAAACTGCCTTGGAGCAAATGGTGTTCTGCAGTGGAATGATCTCTCTACTTGCACCAGGCAGTGAAGGGCCTCTGGTTTTGGATGGGGTTGCTAAGCCTGTTGGGGTTGGTTAGACTGAGCTCCTTGCAGAGCAAGCTCGCATCTCACCCACACTTGCACACCAGACCCACCCAGCTGGGATCTGTATAGTTAACTCCCACTGGCCTGGGTCAGGAGTAGGGTGAGAGTGTTGTCATCACAGTGTGGGGTATGAGGGCACATCTGAATTTTCTTCCCTGAGGCATGGATTTGGCAATTTCCTTTCTTTTTCTTTTCTTAAGATGCAATTCAGGGCTCATGGAAAGTACCACTTCGCACAGCAGCTGTGGCTTCTTTGGGGGATTATTTCTGACTTCCTTTCCTGAAGCTTTTTACTTTTTTTAAATCCCAGATTAAAGGGATCCTTGGATCAGGGAGACTTACCCAGGGGTGGGAGAATACACAATTTGAGTTGCTATTTAGAGTCCCACTTTCTCTTCCTTTATCATGTCCAGAGACAAAACAGAATAATGATCATGTTTACCCAAGAAGGGGATTAGTGTTGGTTAATGCTGACCTTCCTTCTGTTCTGCCTCTTTGGAGCCAGCAGGCCCCACTTCCTTGACCCGGCCTGCCCGACCCTGCTCGCCTCTGTGCACCGGTTCCTTCTGTCCCATGAACCTGCACTGGGCCTGCATTCCTGCAGTGCATTCAGGGGCTCAGATGATGTGTTAATGTGCTAATGCATGCCCTGTAGTGTGGTGACCCCCAGAATGCTTTAGGGGGGCTGAGAATTTTTTAAAATGTGCCTTACAACTTGACTTTGTAAGGTTGGAAGGAAAGCACAGCTGCAGCTATGTGGGGGTACTCAGTGTATATGGCAGGCTGCCTGATGGATGTACAGGAATCACACACACCAGACACATAGGGACCCATCGTAGTCTTACTGAGAAGAAGCCAAGCTAGGTAATCTGTCCAGATCTTTTGCTATAAATTTAGAATGAGGCCAGAGGGGAAGGAGGGAAAATTCAGAGCAGGAAGGTCTGAGTTTGTATCACCACTGTGATCACAAGTGGGATATTGCTGATCTTCATTTTTTCATCATTAAAAAGTAGGTGGTAAAATGATGAGAATAAGAGGTCTTGAAGACTCTTCATTGCTATTCAATTTATACTTCAAATTTTTATTACAAACATGGGAAAATCTAGGGAAACTCTGGCCACCAATTCACTCTTCTAGGATGATTAGAACATCAGTCCTAAGTGGCCAAGAGACTTCTTGAGTCCTTTAGGTGTAGAACACGTGCTGTCCAAAGTGATCATGACTGCATCCATGTGAGCTGGAGGGCCCTCGGGGCGCTTGTTGGAGGGCTGGTCAGAGCTGTCATCCAGCCTCAGCCAGGGTCAGGGGCATCTGGTGAGCTAAGGCTGGATTTTGTGAAAGGTATGAAAGAAAAAATTTTACTTTAATCTCTGACTTTCTTGGCTTGTCTTGCAAGGTCAACCCATCCCTTCTTGTAGGTAAACCCATGCCTTCTTGTAGGTCAACCCATTCCTTCTTGTAGGTCAGGTAATAATGTCTGTTTACTGAGTCTTGAGGGTCCTATTAAGGTCTTTCCGTGTAGCATCACGTTTAGGTCTTGAAACAAGTCCCTGTAGTACTGGTGTCCCTGTTTTTCAGCTTTGGGGGGTGGGGTATTGAGAAGTTGAGAGAACTTGACCAGTGAGTTGGGACCCTCGCTCTGGAGAGTATGGTCTTGTGCCCTAAAATAGCTGCCCACCTTTTGCAGTTTGAAACTCAGCCCTAGATGTGGTGAGGTTCTTTATCAGATTGCCAGATGCATCCCTAAGCATCCTCATTAAGGATTCCCCCTCCCTTACACCCCTCTACCTATTCTCCCTCTCTCGGTATCTCCCCAAGTCTCTCGTAGAACTTAGGAGGAGAGGCGTGGCCTCAGTGACAGCACTGTCCTCTGGACACTCGGGGACTGACTTCCCTAGCTCTCCAACTTCTGTCTCTCTCCTCTCTCAACCCTGATCATCCTCCAGCCCCAGACACTGTCTTAAGCACCCCTTAGAGCTCTAAGAGAGCAGGGGTATGCAGTGGCCATGATCATAGCATGCTGGGCTCCCCACCCACTGGGCCTGGGGCTTTCCTGGGAGGCAGAAATCAAAGGTCTTTACCATTTCACTGGGAGGGAAACTTGTTTCATAGTAAGGCTGGAAAACTTGCCTGAAGTTACAAGCCAACCTGGGCTGGCGCTGGCTTTCTGGGCCAGGCTGGGGTCGGGTAATTATGGTAAAATCTCTCTGGAGGTGGAGGAGGAACATTGCTCCCTGTGCCCCCAGTCGTGCTGGAATCTGGGAATATGGAGGGAGGGCAGGGGGTAAAGAGGAAGGAGAGAGGTGGCTTCCTGTGCACTGGAAGCTCCAGTTCCACAGGGGGAGACACAGGACCTGTAAACCTGGAGTCTGAGCCATTGGTCACCCAAGGCTTACAGCTGGTAAACTACAGAGGGTTAAACTGTACAGAGTTGATTTACATAGACTCATTCACTTACCACCTTGAAAAATCGGTTGTCTTCCAGCTTCTGGATCCAGCTATCAAATCATAGAGGGTCCCAGGAATGCCACGGTGCTGGAGGGCTCGGAGGCCAGCTTCAATTGCACCATCTCGCCGGGCTGGAGCCTCATCATGTGGGCTCTCAACGGCACAGTGGTTCTGAGCATCACGCCCAAGGAGCCCATCATTACCAATAAGCGCTTCACCTCTGTGAGTTACGAGGAGGGTGGTAACTTCATCTCTGAGATGATAATCCACGATGTGCAACTCAGCGATGCAGGGCATATTAAATGCAGCCTCCAAAACAGTGACCGGGATGGATCTGCTTTCCTTTCAGTCCAAGGTGTGTATGTAGGGGCCTCCAAAGTGGAGCACATGGAGTACATTGGGTCAAATGTCAGAGGAATGGAAGGAACCTTTTGAAGTTCAGGTCACATATGATGACATATGGGTCTGCTTTCAGCTGGTGTTACGCTTAGATTTATTCTGAACTGATGAATGATGTGATGTGCCTTTATTTGTCACCTCTCTCCCTGCTTCCTTCCCTTCCCCCTGCTTTCCTATACGGTCTAGCCCTGAGTTGGTACGGTGCTTAGCATTGTTCTGAACTCACCCTTATTGCTCTGATTTAGCTCTCTCTTCTCTTGTCATTGATTCTACTTCCTTTGTTCCTGCTTCTCTCCTTCTCTCTTTTCCTCTTCCCTTTTTCTTTTATTAAGACTCTTAAAGAAAGGTCTTACCACTTTCTCATCAAATCCATTCCAATACCTAATAGCTTTTCTGGACAAATATCTTGGAATTCTGGCCAGTTGCAGCTACTTTTCTTTCATTTAGAGATAGTTGACAATCATTGACATTTCTCTAGTTTTTCATATACTTGACTCTATATTTTGGCCTTACATCATTTACACAGTTTGAACCATGCTTTAATGTCTTCCTCTTTCTAGCTGAATTTCCTTAATGTATTACTCTTCTCTGTCCCTAGTGGTTCCTGCAGTCAAAGGTGTGCATTCACTGAACATACTAAGTCTTTTAGAGAAAAGAAAAGAATAAACAACATTTATAATAATAGAGAACTTATTTTTCACTTTTAAAGGTAATTTTGAGGTGCTGAAGATCATGTTACATAGTGAAAAAAATAAAGGATGCTTTACAAGGACTCAGAACATCTTTATCAAAGTTTAATCACTTGACATGCCTTCAAAATATAATTATGTAGTTATAGATGTATTGGAGCCAGAAGATATCTGGATTTTTGTGGTAGCATTTGTTATAATAGATTACACCATGTCTTTGAAAATGTCCTAAAGTCTATTTATTTGCTTGTCAAGGAGAAATTTCCAAAGATCTGGTCTTTATTCGTATTTCATCAAATCAAACTTGATAACATTTGGTGGAGTTTCTCATCTACCTATTTCTACTTGTATTTTCCTATTTAGCCAGGTGGTTGTGTCTTTACTTTTATGTGTCTTTAATTTTGTGTGGTTTAATTAGGGGCATCATGATATTTTCTAAATAAGTGATTTTATGAGGCTACCTGGATTATTGGCCTAGTTTGCATGACCAGATTCTCATGATAATAATTTGTGGTATAAGGGAAAGAACACTGGGAAAGGAACCCAAGATATGAGTTCTGGTTTTGGTTTCATCAGTTGCCACCTTGGTGACCCCTGAGACGGCTCAATTTCTTCACCTGTAAAATGGGGGTAAGGCTCCCCTGCCCAGCCCCCAGGTTTACTGTGAGGATCAGATGGTTTGAAGACTCCACAGTCCTGTCCCACTCCATTTACTGCACATGAGGCTGGGATGCAGAGTGGCCAAGTGGTCTGTCATGCATACGTGGGTAGGCCCTGGCAGAGTAGGCCCTGGCTGCCAGGTTCAAGTTGCAGTTTTATCACTGACTGTGTGACCTTGGACATGATATTTAATGACCTTGTGCCCTAACTTCCTTCACTATAAGGCTGTTTACAGGATTAAATAAGTAGGTCTACGTAAAGCCCTTGAACAGCACCTGGCTCATAACAATTTCAATATAGTCATATGCAATTATTTATTGCATTTCAATAGAAACACAATATTTGGCATATAAGGGGGACTCAAAGATGAACAGAATAAGACACAGCTCTGCCCTTAAGAACCTTACAAGGAGAGTGGATGGGCGAGTGCATGAATAACAATGGTGCAATTTAGATGCTGGCAAGTGTGATGGGAGGGAGACAAGCTCAGGTTCAAATTGGGAAGGGAGATGAGGGAATCAGCAAAGCCTTCAGGGATGACTCCTTTAAGTCACTTGAGATGTGCACCAAAGGTCTGTAGATGATAGGCAGAACTGGGAAGCAGGACTGGAGGAGGGCAGCCCTGAATCCAGGAAACAGGATTCAAAGGCCTAACTAACTATTGCTATGCTTACGGCATTCTGAATTCCTCAGTCCATGTGGTTTTATAGCATCTTTTTCCAAAGCTACATATCTGTAAGGTTGTCTAAACACCCCAACATGTAGACTTACATGTTGGTGATCACTGAGGCTTTGGGATTCAATGCAGATGGAAGAACGACTGTGTAGGGAAGCTACAGTCTTCCCCGAGGTCATGTGGAAGGAATGCACACAACTTGATATTTTTACCCTTATTTCATTGGTCTGAGTGGCTCTTTGTTCTTAGTGGAATAAAAGTTCTCTGAGCACTAGGGTCTCTTGAAAGGGAAAAAGAATCTTGAAAAAAAAGGAAGCATTCCATTGATTTTGAAAGTGAATCACCCAGAGATTGCTTTTCTAAAAAATGTACCCCTCCTGTATTAACAAGAAAAATAAAGAAAGCTTATCTAACTCCATATTGAGGCACCCAAAATCTATGTGAATATTCTAGTCACCACCCTTATGTAACTGTTTGTCATGCTACTGCATAACTTTCGTGAAAGTCAATGGTAAAAATTGAATTGTAATATATTCAGAAAAGGAAATGTTTCATATTGCTGCGTTTGTCCATTTATTGGCCAACTCACCAATCAATCACACTTAACTCTAGACCTCTTGTGTTCCAAGGGCCACTAGGACTTGAGTTTAGGGTTTTCTGTTATTAACTGAGACAATACTTGTCCTCCCAGTTCCTGTCATCTGAAAACTCTCCAGCAAACAAAAGAGTGAAAGAACAAAATAGAACTAACACAAAACCCTTTAGTCTTAAGAGACAAATCTGTTTTCCTCTTATTGTTGCATTTATAGTACAGTTGACCCTTGAGAAACATAGATTCAAACTGTGCAGTTCTACTTAGACACAGATTTCTTTCCCAATAAATATATTGGAAAATATTTTGGAGATTTGCATCCATTTGTAAAAATGTTTTCTTCTCTCAGCTTACTTTATTGTAAGAATATAGTATGTTACACATGTAACTTATAAAATATGTGTTAATAACATAAACCATTTATGTTATTGGTAAAGCTTCTGGTCAACAGTAGGCTATTAGCAGTTACGTTTTTGGGAAATCAAAAGTTATACACAGATTTTCCACTGTGCAGGGGGTTGGCCCTGAATTGTTCAAGGATCAGCTGTAATCCTTGAATTAGCAAGGGTGCTTTACTTACTGTGAGAGTCTATTCAGGAAAGGAGCAATTGAAAATCTTAATTCCGGGTAAGAAGAGCTTCGGAGCAGATCAGTTCAGCCCAGTCTGGGAACTGCCAGGCATCCCCTAGACCCTGTCAGCATGGTCTGTGAGGTTGCAACTATTTTCATTATCATACTAAGCTGTTAGTTGCCTTTGCCAGTCCCTGTCTCATGAGTGCACAGGGAGTTTTCCACTGCACAAAACTCAGTGAACCAGCATTTTCTAGACTGTAATGGGTTATCACTGTTATTCTGAAAAAAATATTTAATTCTAATTTCAAACATGTAAATATTGATAGAGAAAACCCACGTAAACAAAAGGTCTTTGGAGTCCTCAGTGATTTTTAAGGCTGCAAAAAGGTACTGAAACCAAAATATTTGAAAACTTCTGATCTTGTCAAATCGTTTCATTTGGCACGGAGGAAAAACAGAGGTCCTGACCATGTCAGTGACTGCCCCAGGTGATGGGGATTCTGGGAGAAAGCCAAGGTAGAGAACAGAGGTGTTGACCCTCAACCTAGTGTTCTTTCCATTATATTACACAGCAGGGAATTTGAGGATATTTTAATTTGAACATCTCAGTGTTTACATATTTCACTATGGCATTGTTTTTATCAGAGCCAGTCCTCAGGTGATGTTAGTACTATGGGCACACACCAGCATTATTTTCAGAAGAGTTATTTATGGTGTGAACACTGGCAATTATTTCTCTAATTAGATCAGATTAGATTTTGAGGTCATTTGTAACTAGAAAAATATATTAAGACAATACCATACAGCATTATTTTTAAAAATGCGTGACCCCCAAAATTATTAAAATGAATCTAACTGACCAAAGACCAGGAGAAACTTGATTCCTATGAGACAATGAGATGTATCCTCTTCACAGTGAGAGGAATGTAAGGTTATTTCCCTTTTTGCTCTGACTGCCGGGCAGCCCAGGGCAACTTTGCAACTCTCCATCAGGGATTGTGTAGCAGACTATGGCAAGCTCACCTGCTCTGTCTTCCCCATATTATTTATATTCCCTGGGATCCTGATTGTTATCTATTCATTTTCTCTGGAATTATGTTTCTCCTGGTGAGCAACCTCACCTTCTATGAATCTGGCAGGTGTAAATAAAGACACAGATAAAACTTGACTTAAGGCTCTTGATACAGATCCAGCCAATTTGGGTTTGGGAAGAAAACTGTCATGAAATGTGATTTGAAGGAAAAATGAAAGAAAACACAGAACCAAGAGATATGACCATTGCTTCCGAATGTTTCTCTTTTCTTCTTCAGTCATGGGGGCGCTGCACATCCCTGGTGGCAGCCTTATAGTCACTGAGGATGAACCTTGTAATGTGAATTGCTGTGCAGTGGGCTGGTCCCCTCTCCCAGATATTTTCTGGGAGGTCGGTGTCCAGGCCAGCCATTCAAGCTATTATTCTGTTCCTGAGCCCGACGACCCTCAAAGTGCAGTGAGCATCCTGACCCTCACACCCCAGGGCAATGGGACTTTGACTTGCGTGGCTAACATGACGGGGCTGCACACCCACAAGTCCGTAACTGTAAATCTTACTGTGGTTCAGCCTCCCTTGGGTAAGTGAAGACCTTTTGCTTTATATCAAGTCATGATTACTGCATGCTTAGATTTTATGTGCTGTGCTACTTGATCAACAATGCCCAGGGAGATCCTTGGGTGACCTTGATTTCAGGTAGGGGTGGTAATTGAGGCAAATTACATGCAGCTACAGCCTAATGACCCTGCAATTTCACTTGCTTTTTAAATTCTGTCTTCAAGTATTTCTCTTTCCTACTTCCACACAAAGACCATTAAGAACCTTGACAATTATCATCACAAAACAGCATCAAGTTCAGAGATAAATACTTGAATTCAACATTTTCGCCTAGCTTTCACCCATTGTTCGGATTTGATCCCATCCCCTGGGCCAACAGGAAGCAACTTCTTCCAGTATTTGAGGAGGGTGTTCAGGTCCTTTTGGATTTCTTCCAATCTTAGTGCAATTATGATGTTTCATTTTTTACCTAGTAAACCCACAGTGCTTTTGAAAATACCAAGTCTATATATTTTTAAAGAACTCAGCTAAATGATCTAAGTTTAAAGTTTAGATCACCAAGAATCTACTGTTGGGTCCTTGGCCAAAAAATGCTGAGCACACACCTTCCTAGGGCCCGCAGAGCCTGCTGGAGCCCCGGGTCAGCCTGGGCCGACTAGAAAACACGGGGTCAGGCACTGGAGATTCGCTTCAACACCTTCGTTTCACGTAAGAGGGAAGGACGGGGGTCGGTGGAAGTGCTGTTCTCTATTCCAGGTCGCACGGCTGGGCAAGGCAGAGCAGGGCCCAGGGGCCAGGACGGCTTCTCTCTTGGTGCCAAGTTCTGTCCATTATGAAAACACCTTTACTCAAGATTTTTTGAAGTTCAAAACAAAGCCACAACCAAAGCAAGATTAATAACAATAATGATAATGATGATGTTGAATAATAAAAAACAGCACTGTATTGCACTTGCTATGGAAAGACTGTTTCAGGTGCTTCTTGGATATTCACCAAATTAACTGGTGCCAGAGCACGATGAGTGGGTGCCGTTATTATTTCTGCTATAAAGGTGAGGTGACAGGGACACGGTGTGGTCTGGGATCTGCCCACGTCTGGAGCACTAGGAAACCATGGCAGCCCTGCTCGCCTCTCAGCTCTGCCCTCCACAGTGTGGGCGGCCACCTGGAGGGCGGAGGAGGGTCCGGGGCTGCCAGAACCGAGTGCCGCACAGTGGATGGTCTGAAACAGAAATGCATCCTCCCACGGTTCTGGAGGCTGGATGCCTGAGGCCAAGGTGTGGGCAGGGCTGGTTCCTTCCGAGCTGTGAGGGAAGAGGCTGCCCCAGGCTTTCTCCCAGCTCTGGTGGTAGGCTGGCGACCTTTGGTGTTTTCTCCGCCTGTGGAAGCACCCCCTGAACTCTGCCTTTGCTGTCACATGCTGTTCTTCACGTGTGCTTGCCTGCCTCCAAATTTCCCCAGTATAAGGACACTGGTCACATTAGATTAAGGACCTGCCTGATCTAGATAAGCTCCCAGACCTTACCTCAATTAAATTTACATCTACAATACTTTATTTCCAAGTAAGGTCACATTCTGTGGTATTGGGGGTTATTATTTTAACATAAGGATATTGGAGGATGCAATTCATCCCTCAGAGATGATGTCTGTGTGACCCTGCAAAGGCCTTTCAGAGCCTAACCTGTGGGCAGCAGCAATGACTCTGGGCTTTGCCCTGCAGGGATTGCCTTTGTGTCCAAGTCACATGCCCCCAGAGATCAGGCGGACAACAAAACGAAAGTGTGAGTGAATACCGTGTCAGGTGGAAGACGGGAGTGGAGGGGCCACCAGGAACCACACAGCACATCCCATCCACACAGAGCAGCCATACCAGCTCCTGCTGGTTGCTGCTACCAGGAATGGGACCCAGGACTGCCATATCTCTGATGTGGTTTTGGAAATACCAATGCTTTTGAGGGTAAAGGACAGAGAAATCTGTGTTTTTTGATTTTAAGTCAAGATTAATTTTTTTAGCTTATTAAACTCCAGGGAATTTAGCTTATTCCCTACCAAGACTATATAAGACGAAGCTAGAATTCAAACCTAGCTTGCTTTTCTTTCTCCATCTTATTATTATGAACAATTGAAAACCTTTAGAAAAATTGCAAGACTAGTACAACGAATGTCCATGCACCTTCACCCAGGTACAGTGAATGGTATCGTTCTGTCATCTTCGCCTCTCAGCATTTTTTTCCTGAAGTATTTGAGGGTTTGTTAGAGATGTTATGATACGTAAGCCCTAAATACCTCAGCATGTACATCATAAGAACAAAGGTGTTCGACCTAACCCTCTGTAGTTGGCAGTCAGGAAATTGAACATGGATGCAATAATGTTCCATAATATGCAGCCCATATTCAAGCTTTCCCAGTTTTCCTCTACAGCTATTTTTTCCCCAAACCAGTATCCAGTCAAAGGCCCTGCCTTGCCCATGGCTGTCAGATCTTTAGTCTCCTTTAATCTTCAGTGGTTCCTCCACCTTTTTTGTCTCACCTGAAATAAACATTTTGAAGTTCCAGACCATTTTTGCAGGATGCCCTTCAACTTGAATTTGTCAGAGTTTTTCCAACATACTTTGATTCAGACTAAATAATTCTGGCAAAGCATGGGTAATGTCATGTGGGCACGTGATGCCAATTTCTCTACTTTTGGTGGCAAGTGGTCATTGGTTAAAGGGCGGTCCCTGGATTTCTCCATAGTAAAGGTACCTTTTTGCCTTTGTAAATAATAGTTTGTTATCTATGGATACCATGTGAACATCTTGTTTCTTGAGCATCTTTTCCCTAATAACTTTTGAACTCATCAATAAATAATTGCCTGAATCAATTACTTCTATAGTGGTTGTAAAAGAATGATTTTTTTCCTATCATATTTTTTCTGTCACTGGTTCAGTCATTTTTCTATATTTATTAGTTGGCATTACTGTAAAGAAGAGACTTCCTCTCCTTTTCTCCCTTTTTTAAAATAACAATTTAGAATGGACTCATTATTATTCAGTTCATTATACTTTGCTCCCATCATTATTCATTTTGATGCTCAGATTGCTCCCGATTTGGCCAATGGGGAGTCCCTTCCAGCTGGCTCTGGTGTCCTTTTGACATATCCTATTAATTTTTGGGCATTTGGCCCAATACAATGTTCCAAAACCCTTTGTGTTTCTCCTGTTCTGGCCCAGAATCAGCCATTTCTCCAAGGCGCCAACCCAACTTGCTTTTAAGCTATTTAAAGATGATAAAGTATCGTCCAAGCTTTCAGAGGGAGGATGGAAAAAAGTTCCATTAGCACCAAATGGAATGAAATTGACTGTGGGAACCACACATCTTAACAAGGTAATGATGCAGCAAGGAGCTCTGGTCTGATTGATGGTGCCCGTAGAAATGGATTAGAGAGGTTCACTTGCCTGCAAAGTTTTTCTTTTGTAGGAGAAGGGCAAGGGGCACTTAATTTCCCTTGATCAGGTTTAATTCAGCTGAATGCTTCTTAGAGTAGGGCTAGTGAAGTGAGCGGCCTTAATTATGGCAGCTGGAGTTCCTACAGCCTCAAAGAGGAAAACTCAGTGGGTGTGTTGCAATGAGTCTTACTTTATGGGACTCATTTGGAAAAGGGTAATTTGTTTCTCAATTATTCATCAAGATCCAGAGCAGCTGGTGGCTGGCTGAGTGTTGTGTGTGTTTTATGCAAGTTTTAGTAGCTGAAGACCTCATGTTAGCCTCGGGCTGGTGGCGCTGGTGGCTAGGTGGCTTCCAGGAGCACAGCCAGGTTTGCGGAGAGCCCAGGGCGAACGAAGCTCAGCCTATGCAGGCTCCTTCAGGAACCAGATAAACACCAGTCCTGCCACCCATTGCATAACAGTGCAAGGAACCTGTGTTCATTTCTGGAATAATCCCAGAAAGATGGATGACTATGGCAATTTAGGAAGCCTCATTATTTCAAGCCGAAAAGTTGGATAAAGCACTGACTGATTCTTGAAAGAAAAGCCTTTTGAAAGGGCTAATGCTAATATTTTTTAAAGAATCGATTTTCTTGATTCTGGAAATAATGCAAACTTCAGGCCTTGCAGACATACATTAGGGAAGACATACAGCTGGAAGCTGACAGCCCCTCTCATGCCCGCCTGGAGAAAAGCACCACCAACCCTCTGCGTGCCTGTCTGCATTGTGTCTGCATGCTGGTCACTAGGCTGTGAACTGTGATACCTTGCAATGTTTGTAGGGCATCTGAGTACCTTGCAGAATGTAGCGATTCCTGGTTATAGTCTTAGTTTTGTGAGAAGTGACAATTTTGCAGGCAGACAAGAGTGGTGGCAGTGACAGTCCTGGATCGTAGAGCTGGCACTAGCTGTGTGACTTTGGGAAGTCACTGACCTTTGGGGCTCAGTTTTCTTGCTTGTGAAATGAGGGGGAGAAGAACAGGCAGATGGTCTCTCTCCTGGCTGCCTGCCAGTCTCCAGGAAGTTTTAACACATATGCTGATTCTCAGACCCTGACCCAGAGCTGATGGTTTAATTGATTTGTGTGGAGCCTGGGAACTGGTATTTTAAAAGAAAGTTCCCAAGTGACTCTGCTGGGCAGTGAGGACTGGGGACTGCTGAACTGGAAAATCTCAAAAGCCCTACAAGGGATTGCCTTTGTGTCCAAGTCACATGCCCCCAGAGATCAGGCGGACAACAAAACGAAAGTGTGAGTGAATACCGTGTCAGGTGGAAGACGGGAGTGGAGGGGCCACCAGGAACCACACAGCACATCCCATCCACACAGAGCAGCCATACCAGCTCCTGCTGGTTGCTGCTACCAGGAATGGGACCCAGGACTGCCATATCTCTGATGTGGTTTTGGAAATATCAATGCTTTTGAGGGTAAAGGACAGAGAAATCTGTGTTTTTTGATTTTAAGTCAAGATTAATTTTTTTAGCTTATTAAACTCCAGGGAATTTAGCTTATTCCCTACCAAGACTATATAAGACGAAGCTAGAATTCAAACCTAGCT